GCCATGCCCAGGGCCTAGTCTGGAGCCTGACTCATGAGGGCCCGAAATAAATACTCGCTCATTGCATGAGTAATCACAAGACCAACCAGTCATGAATAGCAAAGCCAGGCAAAAGCCCAGACCCTCCATCTCCTGCCTTCCTTTAAGCCCTCACATTTCCTCTCTATGAGGGGGCTTCAAAAAGTTTGCAGAAGAACGCAATGAAAAGATCATGGCATTTCTCCATCAACTTTTTGAAGCCAACTTCCTATTCACCTTCCCCATTCCCTTCTGAAAAGCATGGGGTAGCTGTCTGGCTGCAATCCAAGTCTGGCCTGAGTTCCTGCTTTGGCTGCAACTTCCTTGTCTTGTTGTTGTTGTTAAGTGCCGTCGAGTCGGTTCTGACCCATAGCGACCCTGAACAGGGTTTCTGAGGCTGTAAATCTTTACGGGAGCAGAAAGCTTCATCTTTCTCCCGCAGAGCAGCTGGGAGTTTCAAACTGCTGACCTTGTGGTTCGCAGCCCGATTCGTAACCACTACGCTATCAGAGCAGGGAAAAAACAATTAATACATCATGTGTCGTTGAAATAATTTAGTATGGGGAAGTTGGTGGAGGGCAGAGTGGGGACCAAACCCAAACCAAACCCATTATCATCAAGTTGATTCTGACTCACGGTGACTGTGTGTGTTAGCAGAGTAGAACTGTGCTCCATGGGATGTTTTTGGGTCTCTCATCTTGTCAGAAGATTACCAGGCCTTTCTTCTGTGGTGCCACTGGGTGGGTTTGAACCTCCAACCTTTAGGTTAACAGTCAAGGGCAAACCATTTGCACCATCCAAGGACCTTGAAACAAGTGGGGGCAGAGCCATGAAAAATGCTGGAGAAATAGGAGACTGTTGGTCACTGCTGTTTTCGTTAAAATCCTGTACACAGATAGCAAAACACGAACGGTTAAAAAGCATTAGCTCTGGAAGCAGATAGAGCTGAGTTCAAATGCAGGCTCTGCCAGATCCTATGTCTTAGTTATCTGCTGTTTTTGTTGTTTGGTGCCATCACCTAGTTTGGTTTTGACTCATAGCGACTGTGCACAATAGAATGAAACACTGCCCAGTCCTGGGCCAGCCTCACAATCGTCATTATATTTGAGCTCACTGTTGCTGCCACTGTGTCATTCCATCTCATTGAAGATCTTCCTCTTTTCAGCTGACCCTGAGGAGCTCTGGTAGCATAGTGGTTACGAATCGGGCTGCGAACCACAAGGTCAGCAGTTTGAAACTACCAGCTGTTCTGCGGGAGAAAGATGAGGCTTTCTGCTCCCGTAAAGATTCACAGCCTCAGAAACCCTGTACAGGGTCACTATAAGTAGAAACCGACTCCATGGCACGTAACCAACCAACCAAAGGAGCTCTGGTAGCGTAGTGGTTACGAATCAGGCTGTGAACCTTAAGGTCAGCAGTTCGAAACTACCAGCTGTTCCGCGGGAGAAAGATGAGGCTTTCTGCTCCCGTAAAGATTCACAGCCTCAGAAACCCTATACAGGGTCGCTATGAGTCAGAACCAACTCCTCAGCACATAACCACCATCACCACTTTCCCAACCATGATGTCTTTTTCAAGGGATTGGCCCCTCCTGACAACGTGTCCAAAGTACGAGAGACAAAGTCTCCATCTTCACTTCTAAGGCACATCTGGCTGTACTTCTTCCAAGACAGATTTGTTTGCTCTTCTATCAGTCCATGGTACTTTCAATATTCTTCTCCAGCACCATAATTCAAATGCATCGATTCTACAGTCTCACAATTTACGAGGCTAGAAGTCCAAATCCAGAACTACTTCTCTAGAAAACAATTCTTGTTTTCTTTCAGCATCTGTAGGCCCAGCATTCCTTGGCAATCGCCATGTGTCTTGGCATCAGTCTTTCCCTGGATTGAGGAGCTTCCCAGTATAGGGACTCCAGGCCCAAAGGATGCACTCCACTCCTGCCTCGTCTTTCTTGGTGGTGTTCAGTCCCTCTGGGCTCTTCTTGCCTGTTTAATCTCTTCAATATCTCAAAAGAGATTGATTCATGATACAACCTAATCCTGTGAATTGTATCCGGCCTCATTAGCTTCCTAAAAGTGAGGGTTTATAACACAGAGATTAAGTACATCAGATCCTGGCTGGTCACATGATGGGGGACATGATTACAGTGTAGTAGATTTATGTCTTAACTGTCAAACCAGTCAAGTCGACACAAAACCTTAACTCTCATACTACCCATGTAAACTTGTGCAAATGACGTCGGCTCTCTGAGCCTCAGTCTCCCCATTAGTTGTGGTGGTTAGTCAAGTCAGCTCTAACTCATGGTGACCCCATGGTCAACACAACAAACTTTTGCCCGGTTCTGCTCCATTTTCACCATCATTAGTCCATTCAAGTCCGTCCTTGAAGGCACCGAGTTTTCTCTGAGTGCCTTCCAACCACAGTGGCTCATGTTCCAGCAACATAATGGACAGTGTTCCATTGTGATCCACAGGGTTTGCGTTGACTAGTTTGGGGAGGTAAATGACCAGGCCTTTGCCCTAATCTGTCTTAGTCAGGAAACTCTATCGAAACCTGTCCACCATGGGTGATCCTGTTGGTATTTGAAATATCAGTTGCACAGCTTCCTGAATCACAGCAACACAAACCTCTACAGTACAATGAACTGACAGACAGGTGGCAGGTTCAAAACGTTGTTGTATCCCTGTGAGTCTGCTCTGACTCATCACGATCCTAGAGGTCCCATACATTTTCCTAAGCTGTGATCGTTGTGGGAGCAGATCGCTAGGTCTTTTCTCCACTGGAGAGACTGGTGGGTTCGAACTACTGACCTTTTGGTTCTCTGCTGCTTGCTTAACCATTGCACCTCCAGGGCTTTTCCTGAAAAACTTCAAACCCACTGCCCTCGAGTCAATTCCAACTCATGGTGACCTTGTCAGATAGAGTGGAACAACCGCACGGGGTTTCCAAAGCGGTCAGCTTTATGGAAGCATGCTTACATCTTTTCCCCTACAGAACAGCTGGTGGGTTGGAACTGCTGGCCTTTTTTGGTTACCAGCTGAATGTTTTAACTGCCAGGCCACCAGGGTTCCTTATTAAATAAACTTTGGCATTGTAGTTACGAGTCATCAAGTGGACTCGACCCCATGCACAATAGAACAAAACACTGCCCCATCCTGTGCCACCTTCACAGTTGTTGTTAAGTTTCAGTTCATTGTGTTAGGCACTGTGTCAATCCATCTCATGGGTGGTTATTAAAAGCATTAAAACAAAGGCTGTAAATCCTTATGGAAGCAGAAAATCTCATCTTTCTTCTACAGAGTGACTGGTGGGGTTTAACAGCCAATCTTGCGGTTAGCAGATTGGCCAACCATCTCGTTGGGGTTCTTCCTCTTTTTCGCTAACCCTCCACTTTACCAAGCATGATATTCTTCAGGAACTGGTCCTTCCTGATTATGTGTCCAAAGTATGAGAGACAAAGTCTTGCAATCCTGACTTGTAAGGAACATTCTAGTTATACTTCTTCTAGCACAAGTTTGTTGGTTTTTCTGGCAGTCCATGGTACTTTTAATATTCTTCTCTAACACCATAACTCAAATGCATAAATTCTTTGATGCTTTTCCATATTCATTGTCCAACTTTCACATGCATATGAGGCTTTTTAAAATACCATGACTCGGGTCAGCATACCTTGTGCAGCAGATTTGCCCAATGCAATCCATCATTTGATTTCTTGACTTCTGCTTTCATGAGTGTTGATTGTGGATGCAAGCAAAATGAAGTCTTTAACAATGTCAGTCTTTTCTCCATTTATCCTGATGTTATTTATTGGTTCAGTGGTGAGGATTTTTGGTTTTTTATATTGAGGTACAACCCGTACTGAAGGCTGTGGTCTTTGATCTTCATCCGTAAGTATTTTAAGTCCTCTTCACTTTCAGCCAGCAAGGTTGTATCATTAGAAACAGCAAAACATGAGCAATTAGAAGCATTAGATCTTGAAGTAAGTAATAGTTGTTTTTAGGTGCCATTGAGTCAGCTCCAACTCATAGTGACCGCACACGCACAACAGAGTGAAACACTTTCCGGGTCCCCTGCTATCCTCATGATTATTATTCGATTTGAGCCCGTTCAAAGGAGATAGAGCGGAGTTCAAATTCAGGCTCTGCCATGTAGCCTTGGGCAAATGACCTCAGTTCTCTGGGCCTCAGTCTTCATATCAGTAAAATGGAGTTAACGAATGTGCTCTCTTCTGGGTGAGCGCTGAGTATGAGGCTTCCTTGTCATGTATACATCAGTGTAACTGAGTTAAATAGCTAAGAAGTGCAGCCGGCAAGAAGCAGCTTCCCAATGATTGAGTGATGGGGAGAAGCGAAGATGTGGCTTTACTTCTGTCTTCTAGAGCCAGGGGAAGCAAAAAGAGATGGCGGGAAAGCTCTGGGTGCAAAATAGAAATGATTAATCAGCTAGATCTGGTAATGTGGCAGGATCAGAGATAGAGGAGTGGAGAAATTGTCCTCTGAAAAGGTAATGCAAGTCCACAGATCCTGGGAGGGTTTGGGGAAATTTCAGAGCAACTGAGCTGCTCTGAAATTTCCCCAAACCCTGGGGACTGGGGGGGTGGGGACAGAGTGTGGACATGCTCCAAACATATGATGACCAAGTTGTGGAAGATGGCCCTTTCCTCCCGTACATGGACCCAGAAAGCTGGAAGACAGGAATGACATCTTCTGGTTCCCCAAAGATTTATTTAAGCAGACACCTGTGTGAAGTGTTGGGACTTGTGGGAAGGCTGGGCATGGTGGACTGAACCCAAAACCAAACCCACTGAGGTCAAGTTGATTCCGACTCATAGGAACCCTGTATAGGGTTTCTGAGGAGCAGCTGCTGGGTTTGAACCACCGACCCGTGTTCACAGTCCAGAGCTTATCCTACAACCAGGAGTCCATAGAGAGCAGAATAAAAACTTAGAAATGTCTCTATGTCCCTGTCCCCCCACCTAGTGCTCAGCATCGGGGAAGGAGGCTTCTGGGAAGGCCAGGTCAAAGGTCGTGTTGGCTGGTTTCCCTCCGACTGCCTGGAAGAGGTGGCAAACCGCTCCCAGGAGGGAAAGCAAGGTAATGAGGGACCCCTTCTTATCCCAATGCACCCCAAGATTCAAAAGATGCTTCCTATCTCCTACACAGGGATGCACATGGGGGAGCTGGGAGTGGGTAGACCTGTGCTTTTGAGAGTGAGGTTTCAGTACTATCCCTTGACCCCTCTACAGAAAGCCGTAGTGACAAGGCAAAGAGACTCTTCCGGCATTACACCGTAGGCTCCTACGACAGCTTCGATGCCCCAAGGTAAGGGTCCTTACACGCTCTCGGAAGCCCCCCACTTCAGTCTCCTTTCATACTTCCACCACCCAGAGACCTCTCTTCTCTTCTTGCTCCTTCTAAGATTGCAACCGGGTGGGTGGGTGAAGGCAGAGTTCACTTCAGACAACACAGCCCTGCCCCAGATAATCCTGGGCAGCCAGTGAGATGGCTCATTGGGGGAAACCAGGGGAGGGGGCTCTGGGGTGGGGATGCCTGAGGACTCAGGAGCTCCTGTGTATGGCTGTGTGTGTCTAGGGGAGTGGGGCGGGGGGGGGGCTGGAGTTGGGGGGAGGGGGTGGAGAGGGCCCACTGTTGTCTCTCCCCTCTCTGGCTGCTGGTTGATTGTTTCCAAAGCTTGATGGATGATGGGATTGGCCCAGGGAGGTGCCAGGGGAGGGGGCGAGGGGAAGGAAAGGGGTACCTGTGAGCAGGCACCCAGGGAGACTGGGAGCTGAAGCTTTCTATACCATGGGCAAGATGAGCGTCTCATAAGACTCCCCTACTGTGTGTGCCCTTGCCTGTGTGGGTATCTCTGTAGGTACGCATGACCCATGTCTGAGTACATGTGTGGCTGGAGACCTCCTCCTCCCATGGGCACAGATCCCCGTCCTCATGTATCTGTCCTGCTCTTGGTACATGCGCGCATTTGTGGCTCAGCACACCTGTGTTTCTGGGAGTCTGTCTGTGGGTTTGAGAATGTGGGCAGTGGTGTGCTACACACAGGGAAGGTGGGTTTCTGCACACGCCCATCTCTCTCTTGCATGTCGCTCTGTGTGAGCATCAGCACATCAGAATGAGAGCTTGTGTCTGTACCTGTCTGATGGAGCTGCAATTCAGGTCCTGGGGTGTTTCAGTTGGAGTGGGGAGGAGTGTGAAGGAGAAAGAAGTGTGGGAAGAAGGGGGGCTCCGGAGCTTGGCTTTCCAGAAGGGTAGGGCTGGTTTTCCTAATTTGGTGTCTGAAAGATGACACCTTCCCCTCTGCCCACTCCCCTTCCAATTCAGGGAAGGGTCCCCTTGTTCATAGCCTCCTTCCATTAAATGTGTCCAAATCTTTGTGTCTGTGTTCTGGCCATGGGGGATGGGATGGGGGTGGGTAGAAGGAAGAGTAATAGCAACATGGGGTGGGAGGGAGGAGCAGTGTGCTACCCTGCACCTGCAATGTCTGAGACATTGACTGTTTTGCGTGCTCATCTCTGGCTCGGGGAACCGGGTGAGTATCCTATGAAGGTCCCCCAACCCGAGTCTCCCTGTCTTTAAGCTTCTGTTTCTGATTCGGGAGTCACTTGCTCTATCAGTTGGGTGGGAGCCGTCTGTCTCTCACCTTTGGCGTCCTCTTTGCTCTGCCGCTAGCTAGCTCTGTCCCATGAATTGCCTTTCCTCCCGTCTCCTCCCCTCTGGTTCCTGCTCCCAAGTACAGCTTTAGGTGTGTGTGTGGGGAGTGTTCCCATGCCCCCTTCCGTGGTGACCCTGCCTGTGGGTTAGGTTTTGCGCCCCGTTCTTCCTCATTTCTCTGTCTCAGCACCCCTACTGGAGTCGTGTAGCCCTTCCATGGTACCCCACCTCTGGACATGAGTCCCTTCTCCCTTCTCCCTCGGTGTCCACGGCCCCGCTCTGAGCTCTGCTCTGTGGATGTCCCTACGCCTGGACTTCTGGGGGGAGGGGAGTCTCTCACTGCTTTGAGGCTCAGTCTGAATTTCCTGGCCTTCCTTTCGCGGCCCCTCCAGACCGTGTTGCTGACTGTGAGGGTGGGCTGCTCATACCCTCCTGACCCCGTGGCGTCTCCGCCCGGGCAGTGGGCTGGGTCCGCGCATCCCTGCACGCGGTCGCGAGGCATCTGTGTGATGTTGTGCGTCCCTCTCCCCGCACTCCCTCGCTCTGCACCTGCGCGGGAGGGCTCTGGAGGGGGGAGGGGGGCTAAAGGGGGGCCCATACCGGAAGTACCTTCCCCTTCTCCTCCCCCCTGCACCTCGCCCCTCCCCCTTCTCCCGCCAAGGGGGCCCCCGCGCTCCCCTCCTGGCCCCCTCCCCCGCGGCCGGCCCCCTCCGCCTCCGGGCTCTGGACGCCAAGGGGTTAAGCCTCGCGCCCGTCGCTCGCCTCCGGAGCTGTCCGCGGTGCTGAAGCCGGCGCCGTCCGCGCTCCCCGCGCCCCCACCGCGGCC